TCATCTTTATTGTCATATTCAAGACATTTTGGCCATTGTACTCTTCGGGCCTTCTTCAGGATTTGTCTATATTTCTGAAATGAACTATTGTAACTATTTACGCTATTTACATTGTTCGAACAGTTGTCCTCATTGTTATATTCAAAACATTTTGGCCATTGTACTCTTTAGCCTTCTTCAGGATTTGTCTATATTTCTGAGATGAGGTATTGTAACTATTTACACTATTTTCATTGTTCAAACAGTTGTCCTCATCTTTATAGTCATATTTATGAAATTTTCACCATTGTATGCTTCAGTTTTCTTCAGGTGATTAGAATTTTGAACTGAACCTTTTATTTAGGCCACGAAAATCTTCTAAGCCAGCCAAGCATAGACATGAATACAATATGGGAACCAGTAATGCGGAGTGCTAGAGGAAAACAACAACAAACTGTTATATGAGCTCTGGTAAAAATGGTTTACAAGTCACCAAAATTCATACATTGATGTGCTAGTGGATAAAAGCATTGGTTGAAGTAATCCAGTGAATTGACCCAAAGAGTTGTGAGTTCAATACCTGGCCACAGCAGAGGGGAACAAAAACTTGGAGAGTTGAGTTAAAGTGAAATAGCTGAAATTGGGATATCTGCAAGAGACATGGTATGTGGAACTAGAACAATCTATCCTGGTGAACAAAATAAAGGGTTCGGTTTGAAATTCTAGTTACCTGAAGAAGACCAACAAAACACCTTGTACCAAAGATGAACTGAAGGCAAGGATTATGGCAGCATTCACCACCTTAAACAAGGAGACTGTCCAGAAGATTTGCAGAAGATTCCAAACTCATCTGGAGGCTGTGGTTGAAGCCAATCACAATTTTATTGAATAAATTTACTCTTTATTATTTCAAGATATTTTTGTGTAATTTTGGTAAATGTATCTGTTAAAATGAAATATCTCAGTTATTTTCCTTTTTGCATAATTTAAATGACAATTTATCCATCGCACCCTGTATGTGACTGGTCAGTAAATGAGGGTAGAAACTGCTGGATGTGGTCGAATGTAACACAAAATATCCACTAGGACAATGGCCTGGTAGATTAAAGTGTTGATTTGTGAATTTGTAACATAGTGGTTGTCAGTTCAATCCCTGGGTCAGGCAGTGTGTACTTGCACTCAGTAGAAAGAGGGTGAGCTATAACTGAGAAGTACTATAAATAAGAACTATCTGAGATAACCCTAGACATGAGCAATGGAATGAGAACAGTCTACCCAGATAGAAAAATAAATGGTTCAGTTCAGAATTCCTTGTATGTTACCCAGATCAATATATATCTGAGGAAAGCCAAAGGACACAATGGCCGAAATGTTGTGAAAGTTTTTATCACAACATTATAGCCATAGATGAGGATAATAGTTCAAATATAAATAGTGTAAGTAATACAAAATATCTAAATCAAGCATTGTGCTGTTGGTGCAGCTTAGAATATGAAGACTAAAGGTTTTCTGTGAGATTTATTAATCATCTTTTCTTACAGAAATTAGGGGGGAAAAGTACTATAAATGAAAAGGGGTTAAGTTTTACGTATAAGTAAAATATAGTCATAAGTAGTCAGCAGTTATCTCTGATCAGGATAGATCACACAAGCTTGGCTGAAAAAATTTTTGGACAATTATGAAGAGATCAAGAGCTGCCAAACAGGAAAAATAAAAAACAAAGTTTTAAAGTAGGTATGAGCATACACCGGAATTTTTTTGGTAGTTTTTCACTAACTAGAGCTGGGAAAAAGCCTAGTGTAAGTTCATAAGGGTATAGAAACAAAATGGGTAAGATAACCCCAAAAGGAGCACACCTTGGATGGATGCTTCCAGACACAGGTATAAAGTCTAAGCCTGCACTAAGGATTGAACTCACAATAACTATGTGACCAATTTTATGAACCAACACTTTAATCCACTACACTACATCAGGAGGCCAAAATGTTGTGACAATAAGAACAAAGATGAAGATGTTAGTCTAAATATAAATAATGTCAATAATGATAATTTCTCATCTCGGAAATTCAGACTAAAATGGTATCATTTATATATTGCTTATATTGACCAGGTAGGTACCAAAAATATAAAAAATGATAGCAATGATCATGGTCACTATTTTATAAAATATATTTAAAATGTGCAGTAATATTTTGAATATTTTTTCCAAGTTTTAATTATAGTTTTTATTGCAAGAAAAAAGTATAAATTTAACTTTTTAAAAAATTTGAAATTACTTTAAAGTACTTACATACTTTATGTACTCAAAAAAGTATTACAAGTACTTATTATGTACTTAAAAAGAAATATTACAAGTATTACAAGGTTTATGTATTTACGTACTTAAAAAGAAATATTACAATGTTTATGTATTTATGTACTTAAAAAATATTACATTAAAAGGAATTAGAATAATCTACCTTGGTGGATGAAGTTCTGTTAGCAGTTGACTACTTATTTTACGTGCCGCTGGCGAATCTTATATGTGTTGTTCGTGTCCTGAGTATTATCATTCATTACCAACCTTCATACAATTATTCTGTTCAGTAACCTTCTGTAGGTTACAACAGTTTCTTTATAAGGAAACGGCTAATATTACAATTACCATGACCATCTTATAAAGAAATAACTATAAAAACAAGTGCTTTTATTCATAAGTTTATAAAAATGTCTGTGAACTATCAAACAAAGAAATTTAAATAAACACATAATCATGAGTAAGTTTAATTATAAACTTTAGAAAAAAAATGCATGTATAATTCCATGGATTTTCTAGGTATTTCTTTCGTTTGCTCTCATCACAAATTCACTAAAAGACAGTGGCCTAAGAAAAGTTTTTAGCCAGGACAAATAAACTACATCAAATTTCAAAATTTAATTGCATAATACCAACTCAACATAAATAAACACTATTTAGATCTAGTATGGAGTAGGTCCTCCATTTGTAAGTTTCAGTGCTTGTATTCGATTTTTCATCGATTTGATCAAGTTATCAACAATCGTCTGATCCATATTTTGCCACTCTTTTAGCAATGTTTCTTTAAGGGTTGCCACTGATGTGATTTTGGTTGCACGTTCTTGAAGTTTTTGGTCAAGGTGCTCCCAAACGTGCTCTATTCATATCATGGCTTTGGGCTACCCATGGCAGTGACCTGATTCCTTGCAATTCTTTCCAGACCTTTGCTACTTTGTTCGTATGACATAGTGCTCCAACTTCTTGTAAAAGGTAGACATTCTTGTCAATCTGATTGGTTTCAAATAGTGGGAGTAGTCTTTTCTCTAATATTTGACAGCATTTTGGACCATTCAACCTTTCGTCAACAAGATTCAGATCAAATTTCCCTCCAAACCAGACAGCACTCCACACCGTTATTCCAACCCCTCCATGTTTCACGGTAACCTTCATACATTCAGTGTTCCAAGTTTCATTCTGATTTCTCCAAACATAAACCTGTCTCAAATTCGAATATTGGCAGAATTTACTTTCTGACCAAATTACAGACTGACAAAATTCATAATCTTTGCTCTCGAATTCTCTCTCCCAATCCATAACATGTTCCCGTTAACCTCTGAAATCAAATCTTGCAATTCTTCTTTCAGAGTCTTTCTCACCGCATATAGTGACATTTCCATCCTGTTGGTGACATCTTTGACACCATGAAGACGGTTTCTGATGACTTCCCTCTTCAGCACCCTTTTCGTTCATTCAGACATAATGATTGGTCTTCCTGAACATTTTTCCACATGACAATGGCCTTCTTCATTAAATTTCTTGACAATATTAACCGTATGATGATTAACCTGGAAAAACCTAGCAATTTCTCTATTTGACTTGCCACACTGATGCCATTCTATTATCTGCCCTCGATATTCACTAATTTCTTTACTTCTGCGAACATTCATTGCAAAATATATAGTCAATTGTCACTCATAGATGAGAGTAGCTTGATACTAACTAATTTCGTAAATTTAATTTTGCCATTACACATTTGAACTAGTTTATCTACAACACTTGTATATCGTTATAATGGGGTCTCACAACAGGGAGGGGGGGGCCGGTGTGCAACTGAAACCGTTGAGAAGAAGGCCCCGAAACGGTGCACATTCTCTCCTGATGACCCCAGTTTAAAATTCGAGAGGAACACACCAAATTCAGTGAAGTCATATGCCATAGTGAAGCTCGGTGGAAGTGTCATTGGCATGAGGAGCATTACACATTCAGCTCGCTTCAGGTGAGTTTCAATTACTTTCCAGTAATTTCCTTCTTCAATTGTCACTCATAGATGAGAATAGCTTGATACTAACGGGGCATTGTCTGAAAAAAAAAGAAGAGATATTATTACAGAAGCCAAAATTGCTGTAATCAAGGGTGGCTAAAAACTTATCATAGCCCACTGTAGGTTGAGGGCATCTGGATTTATACAAGCATTTCTTTTTTAATTTATAATTATATTTACTCTTTCTTATGTTTATTTAATTTTTCTTGTTTTATATTTCATAGATAACATTCTAAATAATAAATATTGTATTGTAGTTGGTTCCCAAATTTTTATAATAATGTAATAAAAAAAAAATATTCTTGCAAGTAAAAACTCTAATAAATAAATAGTGGTTAACATTTTTGTTGAAAATTTGAGAAAAAAAAATGTATAAATTCAGTTTCATATGTTTGAGGTTCATTAAAATTCTATAAATAGTTTCTTAAAAGAAATAAAAATTACCAAATGGTTGATTTGTTTTCTGTAGCTTATCACCTTTTTGCAGGTTATTTAAAGTTAGACAATAATTTTAGCTTGTAAGAATTATAATAATGATTTTAGTGACATAAGTCTTACTAATTAACCCATAGATGGGGGAGAAGAGATGGATTCATACATTTCTCAAGGGTATTTGCATATAAGTAAATACAATGGGAATTGAAACCCAGCTCTCTGATTAACAATTCCAAACCATTATCTATTATACCACTTGCACATCCAAACTTACAGCGCCTGGTATTCCCAAGCAGTCACCCATCTAAGTGCAGACCATGCTTAACATTGCTTAACTTCAATGATCATATGGGAACTGGTGTTTCAAAAAGTTGCTGAAGGGGTATATAATAATAGTGATGTCAAGAGAAAAATTGTCCTGTTAAAAGAACAGATTTTTTGGTAGGTATGATTTTTAAACTTTGCCAATTCTGTGATTAAAATCTTTTTCAAAAATGAAGAAATGATAAAAATATTGAATTTGATGAAAATTAGTTAATTTAATGATTACTTAACCAGATTTTGAAAAATATTACTTATTTTGGAAAAATATTACTTATTTTGGAAAAATATTACTTATTTTGGAAAAATATTACTTATTTTGGAAAAATATTACTTATTTTGAAAAAATATTACTTATTTTGAAAAAATATTTATTTTTCTAAAAATAAAGTGAAAAATATCTTTATTTGCAATGTATATCTGTCACTTTGTCAACTCATTTTAAACTCCAGGTGGGGGTTCAGTCAACTTTTCTCATTCATGTGTGATGAAAGCCTGCTTAAATTTATGAGCAGCTCATGGTACAATTCAAATATGGAAGACCAAATATGAAAAAAGCCTCAACACTGACTACAATAGCAAAAGTATGTTCTCAGCATTAAAATATTTTCATGACTTGTTGTCACTTGATATCCATTGGAAATTACCAGACAAGACTAGTTTGAAAATTTATATAATGATGGTAATAAAGAATACTTAGGAGAGAGATCTGGGGTATTGAGAAGATTTGTTGTCACTTGATCCCCATTGAAAGCCATTGGATGAGACTCGTTTGAAAATTTATATGACAATGATACAAAATAGTAGAGAGCTGGAATATTGAGAAGTCTTGTTGTCACTTGATCTCCAGTGAAATCCATTGGATGAGACTGGTTTGGAAATTTATATAAAGACAATGATACTAAATACTTAGTATTGAAAAACCTTGTTGTCACTTGATGTCTGTTGAAAGCCACTAGATGGAACTGCTGTGAAATTTCATCTGATTTTGATGTGTGGACAACTCAACATGGTACTATATTTAGCAAGCTTGTCTTGCTAGGACAATTACAACTAAGTAGTGTGTTCAATCCTCACTGGGTGCATTATACTTTTGGCCTTGAAAATCACCATCTAATATTGGTGTGTGAAAAATTTGACATTATTTTTTAAAGAAAAAAAATAGCTCTTCTACACTGTCTTTAGTCGCTAATCTAAAAAAATGCTGAGAACTTTTGGCTAACTTTTTGCATATCAAACAATGATGATAATAACTGAAGCTGAATGATTATTGTTATTGAAAGAATGATATGTTTCTGAAAATATGATTTTGAAATAAAATAATATAAGAAAAAATACCTCGTAAAATTTTTCTTTGGATATAAACAAAAAATGTTAACGTTTTTTGACAGTCTATCTCTTAATTTTTCACCAGTTTTTAGAACTGGTGTTAGTCATGTGTCAAAAAAATGTTACAGAAGGCAAGTAGATTTGTGATTCATATAATAAATTTATGATTGATTTAACAAAGCTGATGCAGCAGACCTGAAATTGAGCCAACAGTTATAAAAAGATTTCCTGCTGCAATACAACAGCAAAGAATGCACCATGTTCACATGACATCAGATTGCAAAAATTACCTTTCGTTTCTTTTTAATAAGTTTTGTTAGGAAACATCATTATCCATTGGGAATTTTTATGTGACTACAAAGCTACAATGAATTGTGGTGGTAATAATGATAAGTTTTTACAAACTTAGTCAGTAAACAAAATGGATGTTTAACAATGAAATTTTCAGGCATAGTATACTAATGTCTGTGCACTGAGTTTCAGTAACAGTAATCATTTTTCTTCCTTTCTTTTTGTTATATTATTTTTTGTTTGTCATTTACTTTTTTTTTAAAGAATTATCTCCTTTCTCTTTCATGCTTTTCACTATATTATTTTTTTGTTTGTCATTTTTTTCTTTCTGTCATTTTCTTTTTATTTCTTTCTTTTAATCCTTATCTAAATTTCTTTCTTTTAGTCCTATTCTTTCTTTTTTTCTTCCTTTCTTTTAATTCTTATCTTTCTTTTTTCTTTCTTTCTTTTGATCCTTATCTAACTTTCCTTCCTTCCTTCCTTCCTTCCTTCCTTCCTTCCTTCCTTCCTTCCTTCCTTCCTTCCTTCCCTTCCTTCCTTCCTTCCTTCCTTCCTTCCTTCCTTCCTTCCTTCCTTCCTTCCTTCCTTCCTTCCTCTCTCTTCCTTCCTTCCTTCCTTCCTTCCTTCCTTCCTTCCTTCCTTCCTTCCTTCCTTCCTTCCTTCCTTCCTTCCTTCTTTCCTCCCTCTCTTCCTTCCTTCCTTCCTTCCTTCCTTCCTTCCTTCCTTCCTTCCTTCCTTCCTTCCTTCCTTCCTTCCTTCCTTCCTTCCTTCCTCCTTCCTTCCTTCCTTCCTCCTCCTCCTCCTCCCTCTCCTCTCCTCTCCTTCCTTCCTTCCTTCCTTCCTTCCTTCCTTCCTACATAGATTCAAAATACCACCTGTATTAAAAAGTTAAATGTGGAGTCATGATGTCAATTTTTGTAAAAATTTATTCATTGATGCTTGACAACGATGATAGTGAAGTAGATTTCTTGGGATTCAATTCTGAATGAATTTTAAAACTGTATCTTGATATATAAATAGATGAACGCTTTTTTCTCAGTGTACCGTAACATTTTCTTCTGTAGTTATTTCTTTTTGTTTTGTCGAGTTGATTTGATATATAAATAATATGCAGTAAATATAAAAATACCAGTACAACAGTTACTTCCTTTTGTTTACATGATGATTGACGAAATGTATTTTAACTGCAAAAGTGTATTAATAATTGTAAGTTTTGAAATAAAGGTAGATATCTTATAATTCTTACATTTAAAAAGGGCTATGTAACTCCCCAGATTATAGTGCGACCTATCTACAAGTCAACAGTAAATCATCAATTATTAAGCTATAAAATAGGGGTGTGACCTATCCGGTGGGACGAGCTATCCTTGAGTATATATGGTACTTGGTGCCATGATATTCACTTAAGTAAAAGTTTATATAAAAAGCAACAATACCAATTGCAGTAAAATTGTATACTGTTCCTTGCAATAAAAACTGTAGTAATGTGGAATTATGATTTAAATTAGAATAAAAATTTATACATTGAGGCATAATAACAGTTGTAAGAAACATTTATATATAAAATAATGTAGCAAAATTTTATGTAGTCTCAAAACTACAAAATTTATATGTTGAGTTGTACCAGTTGTAATAAAAATATATACATAGAGTTACAGTAAAAACTGCAGCAAAAATATTTAGGTGCAATCATAGCAAAAATTTATATGTGATGTCATGATATAAACTATATTAAAAATGTATTTGTATCATAACAATAATGATAATATTAATAATAATCATAGTAATAATTTATGTGTGGAGTCACAATATAAATTGCAATAAAAATTATTGGTTAAATTATATCAACAGTAATAAAAAAATGTATAGGTGGGGTCATATTATGCAATAAAAATTTATATGATATATGAATTATAAAAATTTAAGCATTTAATCATGATGCAATAGTAGCAAACATTTATATGCTGAGTCATAATAACAATTGTAATAATTTTTTTTAGATGATGATGACATAATTTCAGTTGTAATGGAAATGGGATACCAACTGTAGTAAAATTTATACATAGAGCCACAATAACTCAAAATTTATACATTGACTCACAATACTAATTGTAATAATAATTTATTTATGGATTCAAAATAACACTTCTAATAAAAAGATGATGTGTGGGTTTCAATGGCATATGGAGGACTCCCATTGTTTTTGACAGACGTGAGTCCAGCAACTCAGTTCTTAGAACCAAACAGCCAGGCTCCCCTCAAATATGATTTGATTATATTGGTGAAGGCTTGTGTAGAACTGAACACACTTTTTAGAAGAGCCAAATACAGAGTTTGTCTCCAAACAACCCTCCTCAGGTTTTGAATTCAGAGTTATCCTTCTCCTAGACTGGTCGCCACCCAAGACCATAGGACACAGTCTGTCATTCTATTTCCCATAGATAGTGGGGAGAAGAGATGGATTCATACCTTATCCAAAATTATTAGCACATAAGGGAATCTAATGAACTCAACCGGAATTCAAACTCAGCTCCCCAATTCTTCTATCCATTACTCCACCATGCATATATATATATATATATATATATATATATATATATATATATATATATATATATATACTCAATTCTCCCATCAAATTTGATGCATGAGGCTCAAGCAGATAAGTTCCTAGGAACTGACAACTCGACACCAGCACATAAGTATAGTAGTGAAGGTTTTGTGCAGAATCATCCACACTTTTTAAAGGGTCGAACACAGAGTCCTTGTGCAAAACGTGCCACAAAGTCTCCAAATGACCCTCCGCAGGTTTTGAATTCAGAGTTGTCCTTCTCCTAGACCAGTTGCCATCCAAGGCTATAGAACCCAGTCTGTCCTGCTATTTACCCATAGCCGGAGGGAGGATTCATACCTTCCCCAAAGGTATTAGCTCATAAGTGAATGTAATTGATTTGACTGGAATTCGAACTCGGCTCTCTGATTCCTCAATCCAAGCTGCTATCCATTACTCCACCGTGCCTACTAAAAGGCTCAAACACTAATATTCCATAGTTATAATTTATTACATTGGAATCGTAATCACGATCCAATTCATCAGACCTACAAATTGTTACTCTGAGTTCTACCTGGATTCTATCCTCTTGGGAATTTATGTATATATATATATATATATATATATATATATATATATATATATATATATATATGTATATATATATATATATATATATATATATATATATATATATATATATATCAATATATATATATATATATATATATATATATATATATATATATATATATATATATATATATCGATATCTATATTCCTTATCATTATTCAAACAGTATATATATATATATATATAATAATGCAATGAAGGGTTTGGTAATCCGTATGGTTAATTCCAAAGATGATGTAA